TTCTCTTACCAATGGGCTTCGCTGGGTCCAACGCTAATTCAGTATGCTGAATCGGCCAATAAACAGCCAACAAGGGCCAACTAATGCCAATGGTTCAGGATACATCACAAAGACTAGGGCAACACATGCTCACAGACGGCTGACCATTAACCTGGTGCGACAGGACCTTAAAGCTCACAAATGAACACATTACATGTCGTTTTTTTAGTCAGTACAAAAGCCATAGTGTAAGAACAACAAGTGTCCTTATGTGTCCGACTATTTCTTGACTTGGCGCTGTGACTTCCTGGAGTCTTGCTGTCACTGTGAGACTCTAAGAATCAGTATTGATTACACCTGATATTTTGTACAGACCAGTGGTTCCCAACCTTTCCAGCTTGTAACGCCCTAAAATTAACTTGTAAACCCTCAACACAAGCTATGGTCATAGTTTGGATGTACTTGTGAGTACTTGTGCCAAAGATTGAGTTTTCCTTCCCGGATGGATTTGTTTGAAAGGTGAGAGGGAAAAAAAAAAAAAAAAGCTGAATATAAATATACTCATTCTCTGCATTCTTTCATACTTTAGTTTTCCCATCTTCCTCTCATTAACCTAAATCTGTATCGTCCTTTGACATATTTTGTTGTAAAGTAAATATGAGAAGCTGTATTTTATGCATGACTTGTAAGTGCAAAGTGCTGCTGCAGTTTGGTTTAGTGAGGCCTTGGTGGGATGACGTGCGAATGCGTCTTCCTGTGACAAAGCCAGCAGCTTTGATGGTAACCAGTGCAGCAGTCCTCGGGCTCAGAGATCCTCTCTGTTTTATTTCACCGCCTCCTCTGACTGGGAGTATGCACACACTTCATTGTGTGTGTGTGTGTGTGTGTGTGCGTGTATATGTGTGTGTCTGTGTGTGTGGAAAAGGTAGGTCCTCCTCTCAGGCCCGCTTTGCCTAATACGTCCATGCAGGGCTTGCTGGAGAGTGGCGTGCAGCAGCACAAAGATCAGGGCTATTCTGGTGCTGCCAGCCTGCCCAGTGCTGATAGGAAAGGATTAATGAGGCGGGGCACTCATCACTTGTAATTAGAAACAACGCTAAAAACTATTTTTGTGCCTGTTCCTATGGAGAGATCTTGACCCTCAGGCCAGCGCCCCCCACACCTCTTCGCCGCTAGCCATGAGGCGGTAGACGCCTGCGAAGTCGGAGTAAATATAGGCCTATAACTCCTGCAGCTATGTGACACATGGTTCAATGGAGGGGAGCACAGATAATTCACAACTCTGGCTGTGTACTCCACTGGATGCTCAAATGTCAAGAGGCTGATAGAGGCTGTCTCTTAAAATACACACTGTAAGGCTTGTTTGTTGTTATTGATCCCAATAATCTGGGAGTCTCTGAGCTTCTGTTGTTTCTTGGCTTCTGTTGTATTGTGGCGCTTTGGTCACATGAAATCTTTATCCCTCCATCTGTTGTGTCTTCTTTAATATCAGGATGTTTTCACACAAATCTTTCCAATGTCTCTTGTATAGCTGAAGCAGTCATTTGATTGGTTGATTAGTCCATCGACTTAATTGATTAAGTTATTTTTAAGGCAAAAGTGACAAACATTTGCTGATTCCAGCCTCTCAAATGTGCTGTTTTTGTTTTATTTACCTTGCATGGAAGCTGGATTCTCACAGTGTCATGAGATCAAGCGAGCGTCACAGGATCATGAGATCACAGGAAAATCCATCTTGCCAGGCTTCAAGTAAAGCCAGGCTCAGGCAACAGGAGCGTTGGGCAGATTCATCCCAGATTCACCCCTTCAGACAACTGGAGGAGAAATCCGATCTGAGACCTTGGTTTGTACTGATGTTCGGCCATGATTATCTGGTAATGGGAGAGGTTTATAGATCCAGTCTTAAGCTTCCTGAACGTCTCACAGGCTCTTCGGGGCGGCCCTGATAATTCAGACATGTTTGATATTTAGTATTTGAGTCTGGATGATTACGGTTATGATTACATCAGTAAGGAGCAGCTGGCAGTGCCAAGCAACGGTAAACATTCTAGCCCAGTTTAGACCAAAGATTCGTGACGAGACAAAACCGTTTTAGAACGTTGCAGAGAAAAGTTGCAGCGGTGTGAACTGGCCGTCTGAGCTAGACTCAAGCCGGCTGATGGTGTCACCTGCGACTCACCTGTTTTAACAGCCAATCAGCTTGTAGTGAAGTCAGTTGGTAAAGTTACAACGTTGCATAACGATGCGTTGCAAGTAGTTGCGCGTCTCAAGTCGTCTCATCGCGAATCTTTGGTCTGAACTGGGCTTAACATTTGCTAGCATCCTGCCTTGGACCGATATTAAAACTGAAGTTAAAATCTCACCTACAGATCTCGCTGAGGAATAGATAACCCGTGCTGACCGCGTCTCTCCAACCATTTTGTCATTCAGACTCGTTTAGCCTTCTGCTTTTTTTTCACTGCAAAGCATTGTTAACGTTACATCAAGTTGTCACACCACGTCAGTCTCCGTTTTGTATACATCTGCTTCCTCAACACAAAGGCTCCCTCTGGCACAATCATTTTAATAATATCCTGTAATTTGTGATGCGCCACCAAATCTTGTAGTATGTGCATGTTTGACATTAGAGAGAAGTACAGCCATTAAGTTTCTCCTTATGTGCGTGATACAACCCGATTTTAATACTCCTATAGTCTGCACCCGGCTTAATGCATTTGTGTCCTACTAGTGTTTCAGACAAATCAGCATCCTGTCAGGAGCTACTGGTGGCTATGTATGTGATTTAGGTGTGGTGACGACACAGAAAGGACGCAGTGTGTTTAAAACAACAATGGCAGCTCCCAAAGAGGTTAGCGTAGATGCTGTCCTAGCATCAGTTATGTATTTCCTCATCGAAAGAAGAGCAGTTAACAGCACTGAAGGCTTTTCTTTCTTTCTGGAAAAGATGTTTTCGCTCCTTCCTGATGAGCCTGTGATAGACAGTGATGGACAGATGGTTCATCCAATGACCTGCCAAGTATCTGTTGAAAGTGCCTGCCCTTTTCCAAAAAGTTTCCAATGATGGCATCTCAGATGGGTTTTATGTAACAAACCATCTGGAGTGCAAGGTTACAGCTTCATATCATTATAGGCTGAATATTTTTGGATTTTGGACCACTGGTTGATGTTACCTTTTGCTGTGGAGAATTGAAATGAAAACTTAAAAATATTTTTCTCACAAAGTAATTAATTAATTTGAAAAGCCATATTAAAATTGGAAATTACTCAAAAATGACAATAGTTCTTGTTTGCATCCACTCAGGATCAGCTGAAAGAGTCTGTGAACACAACACTGACAAAACGTTGCCTATTTGCCATCAGAGACCAACATTATTGTTCATTTAGATCCTGTTTATACCTCGTATTAGCATGCTTCTTTGGTGATGAGATCACAAGTGGACAGCGCTACGTATCAGTGAAAACAACCATCAAGATACATTACGAGCCGATCACTCAAAGTACTTGCCGAGGTGGTCTGGGACACATTTGACCACATATCTTGTAGTGTAAACACTAATGCGTCCTGACAAGTCCCCAACAAGGACTATGTCCTCAGTGCAGGACATGGTGGTTTTGGTGACAGCATACTAACTTTCCCATTTTACAACGAGTTGGACCAAGTGCTGCGTCTCCATCCATCATTTTGCATTATGGAAGAAAACGTGTAGAATTCTGCTGACAGTGATTTCTTCAGCTGTACCGTCGCTGTATGTCACTCATGAGCCTGGTAGCCAAAGTGTGGAAGTAACAATGCAAGGGGTCCTTTGACATTCTAGCCTAACTGATGTAGGCAGTAACAAAATCTGAACACAAGTGGTCCATTGGAGACGGATGAGGGATGTGTCTCCGCTGTCCACTTATGCATGGTAAAAACAAGTGTTAATGGGCTCTCAGAGTCATGTTTTTTGGGTCCAGTATTCACTCTCCTTATAGCTCTGTTTTTGGTCTCCACCAACTCCTGAGAAAAATATCTGTCTCTTTAGCTGCTAAATGCTCTACTATGTTTATCAGCTAACTTAATCTGCCGTTATAGGCCGTTTCACTGGAAATACATTGCTAGGCAACAGCTTCGGTCCATGTTAGCTTCCCGTCAGCTGATATCATTCATGTACACTGTAAAACATTCCAAAAAATAATAATAAAGGACCCATTTAGAACGTTTATGTCTCAGACGGTCTATATAGTATGGTTGTGACATCACAAATTCCCAGAAATCCTGACGGCTCGTTTATGGCCCAGTTTCTGAATACAGACTGTGCATTTCTTTGTGAACTGAGCATTTTTGATACTTTTGCAGTATTTATAACGCACCTATACCTGCTTTATTTTTAAAAACGCATGCATGGATATCTGACTTTTCACAATATGGGACCTTAATCATTTAGGTGCATCATGTGACATCTGACACATGTTACATTTTTGCTGAGTAAAACATCTTCAGAACATTATTATGTCAGTGGCCAAAGAAATTAGATCCCTCACAGTGTTGTAGTACTCCAGATTGGTCTTGGTCTTGTTTCGGACCATACTCTTACTCGTCTCACTCTTGTAGAAAGAGGACTTGGATTTTAGTTGTCATGACCACAACTGCCAGTGCATAAAGGAGTGTCGAATGGAGATGTCTATGTTGATTTCAGCTCCTTAGTGTTTGTATTTGTTCGCTCATAGAAAATTCACACACATGAAATTCACCTCTACATTGTCTTTTGATTATTTTATCGTGACATTTTTGTGTATCAGAGGTGAATAAAGAGGAATCTTCATTTGTTTTCTGTGGGTGTTTGTGTATGTGGATCGTTCAGATCAATTTTAGGAGTCTTTATGGTTTTCATGATCCACATTTGATCATAAGTGGGTGTCATTCAGTGTGGGACTCGCGCTGGTCTTGGTCATGGCTTTGGCTCTGTTAAACTGGTCTTGACTACAACACTGCCTCCGCGGAGGAAGAAACGGTTAGAAAATAAACCTCCAGGACGCCAAACCAAACTTGAAGCCTCCCTGTTTATTTCAAAGCTCACAAGTAGGGATTACAAAATTACAGTGCTTCAATTGCAACAGTTCAAGGAGTAGTAGGAGAAGAGTAGGAGAGATGACAGACCAGTTGAGGAATCTTGAGCAAGTCATGCAAAAAGGTGTGGGAGAAGGCCTCCGTTATAATAGCACCCTTTGTGGAAAAAAATAAATCCATCTGTCCGTAGGTCAGTGCAAAAATAGTAATGAATATATGCATACAAAGAAAATAGATATATATATATATATATATTTATATACTGTATATACTTGACCGTTGACTACAGACACAAAGAAAGATACAGAGACTTGTAGAGCGAAGCCCGTTTCCACCGGAGCCTCTGAGCCCAAAGCAGAGACTCTTAAACAAGTCTAGTCATAAAGAGTGCACATCAAATATGACAGCTTGATATTGTTCTAATACAGAACCGTGTTTCCAAAGAAAAGGGAACAGACCCAGATGCCTCTTGGAGCTGTCAATTAGGCTATGACCTCTACAGAAAGAGCAGTGTGGGAAAGACAGACAGCACCATAATGTCTGCAAGTGTCCCTCACAGACCAGGAGCACACAGCATGCTTCGTTTTCCAACCAGAGATTAATGTACAGTACGACGGTTACATTGTTCAGTCAAATAGATCATTACATACAAAAGCCATGTGCCGCTGCGGTTGTAGGAACCGGCAGGTGGGACGAAAAGGTTCATTATTCTTATATAACATTGGCTCAGATGGTAAGCACTCTTTTTTTGCAAATGGTAATCACTGAATATAAATGCACAAGCTACAAACGTGTGGTAAATGGATATACCTTTTTTCTTTTATCATATTCAAATATATTGTGGAGCACCAGTAGACACCAATGACAACAGCAACAGAAATACAAAGTGAGACGTCGCAACACAAACTTTTTTTTTAAACTTCTTCACACGTAGAAAAAAACTCACTTCAATCTGAGGCTACAAACTCTTATTCATGCTCGAAATGTCCGCAGAGACCTCACACAACAGTTCCATGATCGTAGCGTAACCAAACAACCTGTTACAACTTCGTTTGCATAGCATGAATTTTCACATGAGGGATTTTTGAAGCTTATTGTTGTGAATGTTTGGTGCCGTAAAGCCTTACTGAGTGCACTGTGTGTTTGTAATCTATGAAAACGTCTTGCATTCTCCTTCATCTCGCTGACAGACATGTGATCACTCTCCAGCTGTTTGGGTTCAGATGTACTTTTGAAGATACAATGGTTCACAGAGGGTGTATTGCAAAATATATATATATATATATTTTTGGGTGGGGGTGCTTTGACAGTGATATTGTTAGCCCTGTGCTTCTTTGTTTTCATGCAAACAATGGAGAGCTGAACAGAAACAAGAACAGAAACCATCGTTTGTGAGGAAGCTGCTTCACGTCAGCTTGGAAAATATGGGACCAAACTCGTAGCTGCTTGGTTTTTTTTTGGTCTGAATCTGAATCTTTAAACTTCAGTTGAAGTACTACATGCTCTTTTATGTGTGAAACTCTGACAGCCCTTGGGGTTCATGAAATCAAAACTAGTTAGATCACAGATTTGTGGTTTTTAGACTTAAACAAGGCTATATTTTCTGATTATTCATAATTTAGATCAATATTTTTGCTGTGTTTAAAGGTCCAGTGTGTAGGATTTACGGTAATAAATTGGCAGACAGGGAATAAAACGTAATAAGTATCCTTTCTTTAGTGTAAAATCACCTAAAAATAATAATCACTGTGTTTTAGTTACCTTAGAATGAGCCGTTTATATCTACATATGAAGCTGGTCCTCTTCCACGGAGTCCGCCATGTTTCTACAGTAGCCCTGAACTGACAAACTAAACACTGGTTCTAGATAGAGCCATTCGCATTTTTGCGTCAGCCGCCATAGTTAGCAGCTCCTTCATGATAAGCCAAACAGATTTTTAACGTGAAACTGCTTTATGAAGTGTTTTTAGCAGTTAAAATCACCTGGTCCATTTGTTTTGGCAAGGAAGAGACCTCTGTGGGTAATTCTGCTCCCAGTAAAAACCTCTTGAACAATCAACACCGAAGGAATTCTAACCAGGAGAAGTTTTAACTGGTTGCAATCTCTAATCCTCACCACTAGATGCCACTAAATCCTACACACTGTACCTTTAAATGCTCACTTTTTAAATGGTCATGTGCACAGTCTTCTCAAAAAAACAAGGTATTTATCTTTGTACCGGTGGTTGAAAACACATGCATCCACCTGGGTGCTATAAGAGGACAATCAAATTTGTAAAAACTGTTGAGGCTCAAATGCAAAATTTTGATTCTGTTCAGCAGCAATACTAAAATCTGCAGTTTGGATCAGAATGAAGGCAAAGCAGCACTACTAAGTTAAGTACTTTATTTTTTAGCTGTTCTCGGTATGTCTATCTACATGTAGTTGTTGTTGTATGAGTCAAAGGTGAATATATTCAGGTGCAACAGGATGAGGGTAAACTTGTGTGCGTGCATATACTTTTTTTAACCACACTACTGTTTAGTGCAGAGTTGATTTACAATTCACGGTGGTGTTCAGACTCACCTTCAAGTGCCACCACGAGATCAGGGTTACATAATGAACATTTTCACCTCAAGGCTTTCAATGTCATTTTCTCCAATTCTGCATATTAATCAGGAATATCAGGAATAAATCTGTAGGGTACACAGAGACCAAGAAGGAGCAGGATGCTTTAGTCTGGGTGTCAAAAAATTCGACCTCGGTGTGTTCTGCATCCGTCTGCACGTGATGGTGTTACCGTGCGCAGGCTCAGTGGTGACACATGAATTAAGGCATTGATAGAGGCACTAGAACAGCACGTGAAAGCAGCGCTCGCCTATGCAAGGCAGAAGAGCTCACTTAACTGTAGCTTAGTGTCAGCAACAGGGGAGTTGCAAAAGATCAGACAAAGGGTCACACTGCTCTACTGTACCACTGCCGTCACACTGCACTGTGACCGCGCGGGAGGAAGTGAATGTTTGAAGTCTGTACCTCAACTCTGCTACCTTACAATGGACACGCTCAAAATGCAGGGCGTTGACATAAACAAATGAAGCTACGTAGGGGACTTAGTGGAGTCGGTTTCAACATGGATGAACGGGAGCAAAGAGAACAGAGGAGACGACAGAAGCAGGCAGTGAAATTCCTCCGTTCTGTTACATTAAACATCACCAGTAGCCCTGTTTTACAATAGTCTCTGATTATTTCAAAGTGTTCTTTCCTCTGCCAGCAGCCATGCATAAAAAAAGCTCTTATGGCTGTCTGGTAATATATATATATTTATATATATTGCTAAAAATATATGCATATGTGGATGCAGGAATGGCAAAAACGAAGAAGCAAACACACGAATTATGAATTTGTGGTTCTGATGACGGACATAAACCCACAAGCTGCGCTCAAAAATAAACCCCCTTCTTTTTTTTCTTCTCTTGTCTGCGCCAAATATTACAGCATAACTGTACGCACCATAAACATAAAGAACTGAACGACAGTAATTACATAAACATCAAAATGGTATTTCAGCAAAGAGCTGGAAATGTAATCATTACCGATATATACACATAAGATCAAGGTCTCAGTTGCATTCCACTCTGAAATTATTGCACAGTAAGCCGCTGTGGGCTCGTCATGGTCACCCCCATAAACCCCTGTATAAAAATAGAACAACAACATTAACACACCAAACAAGTCTTCATCGTTTTTTTTACTTTTTTTTATCTTTTTTTTTTTTTTTTGACAGGCACTGCCATGGCCAACCCCGCCTGAGTCTGCAAACAGAAACTGTGTGCCACAGTGTGAGCTTTAATTGTTTCTCTTGTCAGTAATTGCCCCTAAGCACATAGAATATCTTTTCCAAACCGATTTCCTTTTCCTCCATGTTTGCTCCTCTGGGGTCACAAATGGAAAGCTTCCCACTGACCGCTTCCCCTCTCTATCTCTATCTCTAGCTCGTCTTCTCCTCCGGGACTGCAGCCACGTCCAAACAGTAGGGATTTTTGGCATTTCTCATCACCACTGACCCAGAGCTTTGGCACTCCAGAGAGTCCAAGATGAGCGTGAGGAGATTCAAGAAGAATACAGCGGCCCCCCCACACTCCAAACCGGCTCACAGAGCAGCCGGTCTCTCTTTAAAAAACAGTGAGAGTCGAATGAGTCGAGCGGGTCCGTTTTTAGACAACGGTTTCCACACCAATCAGCTTTGGCGTCAGGATTCGTGGCGTTATTCCGTTGTTAAGGTCCTCCTCAAACTCCAACAGCTGGCCCATGAAGTTGAGGTTTGGGGAGATGATGGGCCTCCTGGTTTTGACAAACTTGTAGGCGTCTGTCATGGTCATCCAGGTGTGCTTCATCAGGTAGGCGATCACGATGGTGGCTGAACGAGACACGCCTGCCTGGCAGTGGATCAGAAGGCCCATACCTGCTTGATGTGCTTCCTCTGCGGAGAGGAACATGGAAACAATCAGAACACATTATAATAAATGCTTTGTTCCCACGGGGGGGGGGGGGGGGGTTCAGTCATCAGTCATGACGAGATATTGAAACTTCCTTTGTGACCAGGCATCTATCTATGTCTGGCTGTTGAACCTCAGTGGGTTTTATTTGGTAACAACTTGAATGAAACACCACTTTACTGTAATGCAGCTTTTTAAAGCCAGTAAAAAGACCACGATTACAATAAGATGATATCCATTTGTGCACTGTCAGATAACGTCCACTTAAAGTGTTTTTTTTATTGCCACTGACAGGCTCAGATTGTTATTTTAAGTGTGTGACAACATTATGGAAAGGATCCCTACAGAGACAGACCTTTATGTTAAAGAGTAAGATCCTTTTTGTTTAACCAGAAACAGTCTCGAAACTGCCATCGCAAAACCCACCAGACTTCATTTAAAAAAACAGTAATTTAAGCATGTATTAAATCAGCATAGTTTCACATCTAACTGGGTGAATTAAGGGTTTATTTTACCAAACCAGAGTTGGTGATTGTTAGAACAGCTGAGATATATACCAAGACAGCTTTTGAGAGTTTTAATTTGTGTCTGTCAACTTCAAATTAAGTGTGTTTTACTGTAATAAAATTACTGTTTATTTAAATGGAGTCTGGTGGGTTTGGTGATAGCAATTTCAGGGCTGTTTCTGGTTAAACAAAAAGGATCTTGCTCTTAAAAAAAGGGCTATCTCTGTAGGGATCCTTTCCATAATTTTGTCAGACACTTGAAATTCTGATTTACATCTGTCAGAGGCAAAAACAAGCACTTTCAGTGGATGTACATGAACGGTTCACAATTGCCCATTAATGTTGTGTTGCAGCCTGTTATGCCGCTTCTGGCTACAGCCTTCTCGCTCCGTACTGGACCACTTTAAAAAATTGTTGTTCCCATTAGTCACTTGGACACAAAAACATAGGACAGTTCCATCCAAAAATATACAAAGATACCCTTTAAATCAAAATATATAAAAATATCTCTACCTTATCCAAATATTTCAGATGATACCGAGCCCTAAAACATCAATTTTCTATCCACTTCTTATTTCTATTCAGCATGTAGTGGCAAAAAGCACCCTGAAACCACTGTTTTACAATTCACAGTCAGAGAAACATACACAACAAGTAAAACTGTACACTACTTTTAGGCAATTTGAAACAAGCAAGCGGCCAACTTAGTTTCAGCACCACAGTGATCTCTGGCCTCGTGTTACCTTGTGAAACAAAAGTTTCCAGCCTCAGGCTACAAAACTTATTGACATTAAACTCTCAATGTTTCCGTGGCTGAATCGCTTACAGCTCTCATGTAAACATTACGTCGTCTCAGTGGGTCACAAGACAAAAAAAGTTGAGGAACTACCGCCTTAGCTCACACTTCTGCAATGAAAACAGGGAAAGTTTGTATACCAATGAATTCAAACGCCTCCTCGAAGTACTGCCGCAGGTTCTGCTTGTTGCTGTCTGTGGCGGGCAGGCGCTTGTAGATGAAGAGGCCCGTGTCATAGTGGTAGAGCGGCAGGTGGGTGGTCACGTTCAAGATGTAGCCGATGTTGAAGCGCTGCAGCAGGTGGATGTCCTGAGCGTCGTGCTCGTTCCCCAGGTAGAGGAAGGGCAGGATTGGTGTCAGCTCTGCGTTCTCTATGTCCGGGGTGGAGGGCAGGGAGTGAGGTAGCGGCCCCGTCAGGCCAGCAGCAGCACCAGTGTCCAAGCCCTCGTGAAGGTGCAGCGAGTGCTCGCACAGGTCCTCGTGGCCCTGCCTGAAGCAGCTAAGGCCTCCTGTGAATACAGACGGAGAGATTGTGGGTGAACAGGAAGTCAAATTATTTGAACCTACTTAATTTTCATTTTTTCCCTTCCCATTGTAAATTGGACCTTGTTGGCATAGGCGTAGATTTTGGTGGTAGGGACACTACGGACACACTACCTTCAGTATTTAGAACATGTGGATTTGTCCCCCACCCCAATTAAAACTTGAAAGTAGCCGAGGACTTTTATTTTGACAAACTGCAAGAGCGCAACTCATGCTAGTTGCTTCAGGTAAAGTGGGTTGCAATGTAGAAAGTAGAAGAATCAACTAGCAGGAAGTATCATGACATTTCCACCATAAATTGATGCCTAAAAAATTCACTAGAATACAGAAAATGAAGTGTTTGACACTCAGAGTTTCCTTGGGGAAGACCTTCATACTCCCAGCTTAATATATGTCCACCAAATGTTTAAACCAAACCTATGCCCTTGCTTGTTGGTCTCCTTGGAAAGAGCATGAAGCGAACACTGCCAGGGTTAAGGGTTCAATTCCCACTGGAGCGGTCCATGCTAAAAATACACACACTCATGCTTCTGTGCACCACATGGCGCACGTTACGACTGAGTAGGACAAGTAAGCTTTGCATACACATCTGATAAGAGCAACGACAACTGGCTTTAACAACCTCTGAAGCACTAAAACATGACAGACATTTACAATATTCACACTACGCTGTGACATTTGGTTTTAATTTGAATGTCTTCATTTGAATATTAAATCAATATGAGGGATCCGAGGTGTTTGGAAGAAGTTGAACCTCATGAGAAATCCCCCGTCGTTAATCTGCAGGTAAATAGATGTACTGAATGTTTGATGTACTTCTCACTGGACATCTGCACTTCTCCAAATAACTGGTTTGCACCTGTTGCCAGTGATGCCATCAGCCAAAGTTTCCCTTCAGCACTAGAGTTGTGGGGAGGGGTGGAAAGTGTCAGATACACACACACACACACAGTATCAGTTCATGTATTGTTCGCTTTGCAGGAGTTGACATCATGCCATGTGAGGTCATCGCACAACTTCCCCCCCGGTGACTGGGCAGGTGGATTCAACATAAAACAGCCTGATTGTTAACCAGCACAAAGACGTTAACCTGATGTTGTGCTGATAGTGTAACAGGCCTCGCTGTGAGTGCGACGTCGTGGTAATAATTACACTACAGTAAATAAAAGAAAGGGAAGTCAGTATATGCCCTCTGACAACACAGTCAACAAGACGTTGAGGGGGATTTCCACTCGTGTTGATATTTTTAGTACGTTTCTAAAGAAAGTTCATAAGACAGACAGAGCTATATGAACAAACATTTAAAACCCTGTGTTAAACATAGAATTTTACATATAACACAACATCTTCTATCACACACACCTTTGTTCAGAGTGAACAACATCAAAATGAATGACAACCACATCTTACCACGCTGTATTTTTCTTTATCTTTATGGCTCATTAGAAAAATCACTGTTAAATTAAAGCAGCTATAATTGTTTTTTGGTACTTACAGGCAGTAAACATTTACACATTAACACCTTGCAAATGTGTTGTTGTGTTGGTAGACATTTGTAGCAGACACAGAGTAACATTTACTCTCCTTTTAGCTCTGTTTTGGTCTCAACCAACTCCTGAAGGAAATACCTGTCTCTTTAGCTGCTAAAAGCTCCAATACGTTCACCCGCAAGTCACTGCCTTTGTTTGTCTTTTGGTGTGCAGTCATTTATCAGAGCTTTTTCACGGAAAATAAGGTTCATGAGAGCGATGAGACTCAACCAAAACAATAAACAATTTAAGGACTGTATGAATAAAACAATGAGCTACAGTAGGGCTGATCGATATTACAATTTTTTTTTTTTTAAAGATATTTTTTGGCCATTTTGCCTTTAATGGACAGGACAGGTAAGTGTGAAAGGGGGAGAGAGAGGGGGGATGACATGCAGCAAAGGGCCACAGGCTGGATTCGAACCAGGGCCGCTGCGGCAACAGCCTTGTACATGGGGCGCCTGCTCTACCACTAAGCCACCGATGCCCCAATATTACAATATTTTATTAATATTGTGATAACTCTACAATATCGGCACAATCTCAAAATTGAGGTATTTTGTCAAAATATTGTGGTATTTGATTTTCTCCGTATTGCCAAGCCTTATGCTAAACCAACACCCAATGATGGCAAAACCTGAGGGCCTGACCTGGGTGCTGTATACTGACTCAGTGGTGACGGAGGCAAGGCAGAGACTGTTTGACCTTAGACACTTGAGAAAATTCCAGGTATCCCCTCAAATAGAATTTCTACTCCTGCACCATTAAGAGTGTCCTGATGGGGAACATCACAACCTGGTACGGAAACAGAAAGTACCCTGCAAAGAGTGGTTCGTTTGGCTGAACATATAACTGGTGCTCATCTACCCTGCCTAAAGGATGTTTACACCAGGCGCTGCAAGAATAAGGGCAGGAGAATAATTAAAGATCCGAATCACCCAGATAACAGCCTTTTCTCCCTGTTGATGTCGGAAAGACGGTACCGGATACAACAGCGCTGAGAGGCTCAGGAAGAGCTTCTACCCTCAGGCCACAAGGACCCTAAATGAGGTCACTGCCTAAGACTGCCTCTTCCTCTCCCATGAAGAGACGGGGACATTCTAATGCTGTGTGAGCAATGTGAGTTTAGAGCGCCAACTGGTTGGTAAACGCCAGTAAATAGTCAGCACCATGATATTCACAAGCCTGCAAAACACTCACACCGGAGCTGCGTCAACTGTTAGCCGAGTTTTGAGCTGTAACTCCGCAGTAAATAAGCAACCATCTGATTTTTGGAGTTTTTAGTTGCCACAGTGGCCGTTAGCAGCTACCCCTTCTTGTTAGCTGCTGAACTGCAACAGAGCAAGCAGCCGCCGGACTTAATGTCTGTTGATATCCGCAGGACTGTTCACATAACCAGACTGTCTCAGGAAGGTTTTTTGTTTTGTTTGCGATTTGACAGACAGGTAGTATAATCAGGTTATGTTAGGGTGCTTTCACACTGGTCCTGTTTGGCTCAGTTCAATCGAATCCAAGTTAATTTGCCCCCTGAGTGTAGTTCATTTGAGCAGGTGTAAACACAGCAATCGCACCAAAACAACCGGACCGAGACCTTCTTGAAGAGGTGGTCTTGGTCCAGTTACAAAGGAACTCTGGTGCAGTTTGTTTGGTCGATCCGAACCAACTGCAGTCACATTACACATTGTTTGGGTTAAATAAACATGAGTTTGTACAGTCCTGGAGGATTATAAATGTGTGCCTCCCGCTGTACTGCCTTTATATGTGCATTTGGCACATCCAATGCATCAAAACGTTGTTTTCTAGTTTTCTGACCAATCAGGAGCAGCTTTCTCATGCAAGACATCTGATCTGGTCCGCTTGTAAATGCTGCCGTGAGAACATGAACCAACTCTGGGCAATTATGCAATGCTGTAACAAAATTAGTCCCTGATTTGGGCCAAAGCAAGATAACTCTAGGTCTGAAAGCACCCTTAGTATTATTCCCTGATAGCATGTGTTGATAGCAAAATTCTCTTGCAACAGATGGTCCTTGAAAATAAAAATAAGAGCTTGAAAAAGTACTTAAAAGTCCTTGAATTTGACTTGCCTCTCTCTGTATGTAACCGGATTATTCCACTCTTTTAATGTACAAATTAAAGGAACTGATGGGATTAGATTTAACTCAAACTGTACTTGATATGTTTTCATGTGACAAAACATTGACAGGTTGATTGATTTATTTTGGCTAGCATTAACAGTCAGATAGCTCAGCCAGAGACACAGTGAGCTTCCTCTTTTTCCAACCGAACCAAAGTCTTCTTTTCAGGTCAAGCTCAGCAGATAAATAACACTTTTCATGGTAAACTGAGAATAACAGAATCTCCAGAAGCAGCACATTGCTGTGAGATAAAATCTGTTGAGTGTGACCGTCTGTCATTAACGTCTGACTAAACTCGCAGAGGAAAACATGAAAACTCTATCACTTTCAGAAGCCACAGGCTCAATTCCTGCTCAGAAATTACCACGCCTGCTTCGCAGAGGCCTCTCACACCACAGATCTGCTGTTTCCAACGCTTACCCTAAACCTTCCGACACCACTGACATGTTGTTTATGGCAATTCTGATGGATTAAATGTAACCTGTTACTGCTCTTAGCTGCAGCAGGGCAGGGACGGAAGGTTTTGTATTTTCAGAGTAACACGTAACAACAGTGTTACGATAAATCATGACTAAGACATGCTGGTAACTGAGCAAATAATGGAGTAATTATTCAGCTGCATTCATACAAGCAGGTTCCAAATATGTCACTATTACTAGTGCTTGTAATAAAATCAACCCTGTGTACTTCCCCTAGTTGGAAAGTTCTCATATATTTTAAGGAAATGAAGGATCACCACAAGATTTAAATAAAAGGCACATTAGAGTTATTATTTATAATGGCATGAAGACTCTTTCAGGGGTGGTTATGTTCAAGTTTGGCTTAAATATCAACCATTAAATCATCTATCCAAAGTATTTGATAATATAGGCTACATTCAGACGTAAATGGGGACACATGGGAGATAGCGGCCATTCCCGCTACGAAAAAGGACTTGTAACGTAGATAAAAGTCAGAGTCTGAGCCATTTGATTGCCTTGGCAGAGAGGATGTCTTGCATTTTGCAAGAATCAAACCAGGGGAAGAAAGAGGCAAGACAGTCTGCCTGTTCCTCCCACCGAGACGAGCTTCACACAGACACCGATGCGGGATGAGAGACTGGAGAGGAGCCTCGTCCATCAAAGCGCGCAGGAGGACCAGAGGACGAAGCGAAGAGAAGAAGAAGAGATCAAGGTGCTGTGATCTTACGGCTAGACGTTGACTCGGAGGCATTCAGGAAACACTCACAGCCCAGCCCCCAACACGACATACTGCTCCAGCTTCAAACACACACACACACACCAAAGATAGAAAACATGGCAGCGACCCAAGGACTGCTATCTCAATAGGCTGCCTTATTTACTAACAGCTGCTTCTCACTTCCTGCAAAATGCTTAATGAGTGTCATATGGAAAGCTGGTGAAGAGCGTGTGCATATGTTTATGTATGAAGGGGATTTAGACTGAGCCTGCACAGGCTTGATTATACATGAAAGGAGCTGCTGCATGTGGCACAGAGCTCACATGATGATAAAACTACAACCGGTGTTTAAGTCAGCTGACCAGAACAATAAAGGTCAAAGATTAGCAGGCTTAAAACACACACACTGCACATTATTTCGCTACAATAGTTTCATATCAGTTTATATTCCCTCTAAGCTCCTACCACTTCTAAATCGGACATTGCTTTCAGATGTCTAAACCGATTAACTCCCTCCAGAGTCAAACTAAAGCCCGCACTATTCTGCTTTATATCCCTTTTTATGCGAGACAGCCTTGTTTCATTCCCCCCCAAAGTCTTGACAAACCCACTTAGGTGTTACCTTTAAGGATGATGGGGTCCTTGCCCTCCCTCCTCAGTGACTCCAGAACCACATGCAGTGGCTGGGAGAACGTCAGCCGGTTGGGGTCCATGGTGCTTTCATCGTAAACCACAATCTCTTTGGAGAAGATGCCCTTATAAGAGTCCTTGCCCTCGCGGCAGGAGATGAGGTCCAGCACAGTGATCTTGCCCTGCTGCAGCCGCCGCCGGCTGATCTTGTCGGAGCAGTTGATGTGCACGGCTCCCCGGATGTGGCTCTTGTTGTACTCCATGAAGGGCCGGCAGTCGATGATGACCGGCACGGGCCCTACAGGGTGTCCCATGGGGCAGCAGGTCATCCGTTTGGCCAGCTCATTGGGATGAATGAGCCTCACGGTGGACAGGGCCTTCGGGGTGCCCGGGGTGAGGCTGGGGGCGCTCAATGCTTCGTGGTTGCTGACCATTGGGGTCGGGGGCCCGGCATAGCTGAGGTCGGGGCTGCTGGCGCTCACCTGGCTGTGGTTGAGGCTCTGGCTGTCCTTCTCATAGGTAGTCACTGAGCAGCAGCTAGCACTGCTGCATCCACACGACAACGAGCGCGTGGAGCCCTTGGATGAGGGCATATACGTTACAAGATTGGCCGTCGCCCGGATCTTCACCACGGTGGTGCTGATGACTGTCTTGTTGCTGCTGCTGGTGGCAATGGAGTCCAGGTAGCTGGTGTCCAGGCGCAATTGGAGTTCCTGAGGTCGGATCGGCCTTGGCAGCGCCACCACAATTCTGTCGTCAAGAGGAGATGGAGGCATGGGGAGGCCGAGGGCTGGACGTTTACGGAGAAGTCAACAAGCCGCTCTGTGGGGACAGAGACAGGACAAAACATGAGGTGAGGAAGAAAACCAGTTTGGTTCGATGGATCCTGTGTCCACCGATCGAGATCGAAGCTGCGAGGGAACGAGCAGAGTGCACAGAGGCCAAACTCCTGTCTGTTTGATCAACATGCAAACTAGAGAGCGGCCGCTGAAGCCAAATATTAGTAGTGTCAACACCTGCAGGGCAACACCCAACTTGGTGGGAAAATTTAGGCGTGACAGACTGGCCACTAATAATAAACAGTGAAATCACCACAGAGTCTCGTGTAACTGAATCACTTTGAGTGTAATTAATATGAATCATCCTCCTGATACTGTACTTGTGAGTGTGTGTGTCTCTGTCTCTGTGTGTGCGTGTGTGTGATGCATTTTTCATCCCAACTATGGTCTGTCTGATCCACAGCTTTTATAACAAGAGAGGGAAAAAAAGAGAAAAAGATAAAATACTGCATCAACGCTACGCCGCAGTTTGGTCTCTCCCCCAACTGGAAAAGTCAGGGTACAAAAAAAAAGAAGAAGAGGGGTGGCAATTTCTTTTGATCACCAGCCTGAGCATTTTAAAAGCATGTCATATTATGTAAAGACACCCGCCGAGCACTGCCTGTCCCGGCCATCGCCGTCCTTTAAGCACGGTGCAGCTTCAGCAGGAGCAGGAATCATTCATGGCCAAATTCATTGAAGAAACCGGCATGAGAACGTGCCGAGAATGTGATATGGCTCTGAGGACGAGACGAACTGATCAGATGAGCTGAACACTGGAGGAAATTCAATTTCACACGGCCGTATTAAATTAAATAATAAACCATAAAAATGCGATGGTTGCATTTTGAAGGGAAGGGATTGTAACTTTGTCGCAATGGGGCCATATGTAAAGATAACAGCTGTTATTCTACACTCAGATAATAATAATACACCAATAATCAGCTCAAGATGGTTGCAGCAATTTGATATTCCTCTTCATTAATTATAGAATGAAATCTCTATGACTGTGCATTTCGACACAACAACTTGTGCGTTGGACACTAATTCCCAAACTTGCCTTGTCTTTGTGCTTACCGGTGTGTGTCGCGGTGCGCTGTAGACGGATTGATGATCTCCGCTCGCTGACAGCGTTGCCTCCATTCAGTCCGTCCCGGTGTTGTGGATCGGCAACATTTTTTAGTACTTTTACCCTGCTCCCCCAGAAATAATATTGAAGGAAGTCTGCCAGCCTACAGAAGTTGCGCAGCGGGATTGACGCGAGCGCGAGCCAATGCGCGGCTTCATTAATATTAAATTTGATCCTTTTTGTACAGTGAGGTCCGGCCCTGTGGTGGGAGGGGCTTGGCTGACATGTCTGCCTCTGTGGCTGGGGGGGGGAGTGGGAGGGTGGAGGGGATGCCGCTTGAACTGCCTTCAGTCCCACGAACGAGCAGCGATGATGTCACTGGCAGCCAATCAAAAGTCTCTCCAGGAGGCTCGGGGAAGAAGACACGGTGCCTTCACGTGCTGCTCGTAAACTCTCAACGTACAGTAAAATTGAGCTCTGATATCAGAATATGACACTGTGTGCAGAGGGAAGTAAAATCAAATTAGACATGTACATAACGTCATCATCATTAACTGTTGTTTATTTAGAGAAAATTAACTGAGCATTCAGCTGTTTTACAAACATATAATTGCAATAAAGTGATGAAAAAATAGTCCATAAAAACAAATAAGTTGCAGCAATGTCTATCAAGAATTATAACACCAAAAAAAAGTTAGATAATTAAGAATGGATTCTGCCATAAAAGACAGACACATAACAACAACAGCAACAATAAAAACTGTATATAGAAGATTATGTCTGTCAGGTAACCAAAGAAGCAACACTGTAAAATATCATCTAGCATACACTTGAAATAATCTACCGATACATACCTGTCCAGTTCAAATACCTCTTGGAACTTATTCCATTTATGTGGGGCCAAAAAACTAAAAGCTAATTCACTGATCTGAGGGGTTTTAAGGGATAAAAATTCTTGTGAGCGTGTGTGATGAGAGATGGATTTGATTTTTAAAAGAGAAGTGAGCAATGCCTCATGAACAAAAAGGAGACAATGTTTTCCCCTTCTATCAGTGAGAGACGACCACATCACATTCTGATACAGCTCACAGTGATGAGATCTAAAACCATCCCCTGTAATACAACAGAGAGAACTGTGGTAGACTGCATCAAGGGATTTTAGGTTGGACTGAGCTGCATGCATATACAAAATATCGCCATAATCTAAGACTGACATTATAGTTGATTGAATAATTGTCCTTCTATTGTCTAAAGAGAAGCATGACCTCAGTCGGTACAATGCACCCAGTTTTATTCTCACTTTCTTTGTGAGCTAAACCACATGTGTTTTAAATGATCTTTAAATGTGTTTAAAGATCAGGCAGTTATTCATAATGTTGACACCAATAATGTAAAGGTCATTGTTTAATCATAGTTTGTTTTCACTTTCGCAAACAATACAAAGTAGTACATGAGCAAGAGAAATTGATTGATTGATTTTTATTTGTGTCATGCACACTCATGTGCCCAACCCTCATGGATTTACAAGACACCATTACAATGATGTTGCAGTAAAATTGGAGCTCTTTTATAAGAATATGATACCGTGTGCAGAGGAAATGAAAGTAAAATCAAATGTAAATGTAAATGATGTGTTTAAAGATCAGACCGTTATTTGTAATGCCGACACCAACAATGTAAAGATCATAGTTTAATTTTAGTTCACTTGTTTTCACACATAGAAAATACAAAGTATTACATGAGCAAGAGAAAAAAGATAAGAGGGTTTTAATCAAGGCACTCTCTAGTGAATACCCTAATCCATTAGTTAAGTAAATTTATTACAAAGATGGATCAATGAGTTTTAAACCATAAACAGACAATGAGCTGTTTTAGGCCATGTTTACATGAAAACAATCCGCTGAAAACTGAATTGTTTCTTGCAATTGAGATGTTCGACAGATAGGAGCCTGAGTTTAGAATTATTTCGAGTAGAATAATTGTGAAAGTGATTCGAGTGATGCTGTACGTAAAATGGTCATGACAACATGAGGGAAGGGTAATATCCCAGTATGAGGTTTGAGGCAGCAATGCGGGGTCAGCACTCCTACTTTTTGCTGTCACCTCATATGGATCAACGATGTTATTAGAAAACAATTTAAGGCCCAGCCACACCAAACGAACTACAGAGAACTAGCACCAAGGAAAACCTGCTGTTGCGTCAACTCATGTCGCCCTGTCTGAAAAGTTGAAAAGTTGCACATGAGCACATTGCAAAGACTACAGACAGCAGTCAACTAGCTCGTACATTCTGTGCCTGTGTGAGGGGAAGTAGCTCTTCACACCAGCAGACAGCAGTAGCCCATATTCGCCATCCAACAAGGATAACCGGAAGACCATCTTGATGCTAATTAGCCAGTTAGCACATTAACAACACAATCAAATGTTGAAAGAATAAAGCATAATTACCGTGCGCCAGTGAACAGTTACACAAACCATCACAAAACATTTCTGCTGAACAGCTCAATGGCTGAGAAAAATAATTTTACCTCATGTAACAAGTGTTTTTGGTCTCACGTCCTCTTGACTTTAGGTCTTTGTTTACTTTCCTCACTTCCGTTTCTCTTCTCGTGCACTAAGCTGAACTAGTAAGCATCACCGTTGCGGATGCTGATTTAACGTGCTAAATTGGCCAAAAAAAAAAAAGCCAACGGGGGCTGACCAGGGTTGACAGTGCAGGACACACCGCATCAACGGCCCAACAGCCGACCGTCAGCTTGGTGCATCAGGGCCTTAAGCCAAATAAAGGCCCCTGGCATCCTTGTTGAGTTTGTCTCAGTGTGGTATCCCCTCTGTTTGCTTCTGTTTCTCCAGTTTGATAGTTTAATAGGTTGGATAACTTATTTAGTCGTGTTGTTTACTGTGGCTATACCTTGAAAATGGTGCCTCGGTGACATCACAGACAGTCCACACGTGACTGACAAAGACTGATTGTGCGTGCTTGCTCACTGTCATGGCTTGGGACACTTGAAAAGAGCACAGCCATTGTTAGTGGTATTAGTAACACCTGTGCTTTTCCTGCTATGACAAGTCAGATGAAATGACTTCCTTGTTCTTTGGTCAGTGAGTGATAGATAGATATGCTCCCCACTAATAGATACAGAAACAGACATTTACACCAACCTCCTTGGAAGAAGAAATATAAATTAAATTAAATCAAATTTCCAGCTTATCTGTCCACAATAGGTCTACAAAGATACGTCTCTTTTATTCTGAGATATTTCCATGCCCTTTATCTTTTCGTTACCCGTGTTTTATATTTCCTCACTCATCTTTCTGGTCAGCTTTTTCCAAATGAATCATCTGAAGGCCTGCTGAGCTCGCTCGACGACATCTGCACCTTTATGAACAAACAAACCGCTTCTGCATTTTAATATTCCTTCAGCTGCACTTCTCCTCATATTGCTGCTTGGGGTTCTTTGTCTTTCTAGTTTTCCTCAGGTTACAGTTTCCACTTCAGTCACCTGTTAAGAGTGTACATATATGAACTGAGTGTAGATAATATACATCCTATTTTGGAAGGTTTTACTTTTTTGCTAATGTGTTGGTTTACTCAGTTTTCTAGCAATATGTTGGTATGTTTTACACTGAATTACCTTAAATGTTAGCAAACCCAGTGCCATACCCAGGGCATTTGGGGCCCTAGGCCAGCCTTCCTGAAATATTATCCTTCATATATATTCCATTTATCACAAAAAAAGAGCAATTAGAAATCAGCACAAATAAACAACTTAGACAACAAACTAATACTTTTTAGCGCCCCACAAGCAGCTGCCTATGTAACCTGTAGGAAACCCTTCCTCTGCTCAAACCTGTATAACAGCACGATGAAACACACCCAACAATGCCAGTAATCATTCCCAATAAAATCAGTTAAACCAACAGAGGCAAACTGTATTCAAGGTTAACATAGCACATGTTACAGGACATTATAGCTGACACTTAATGCAGCTGTGAGTCACTCATGTCTGACAGACTGCAGAAGTCTGTTGCTTCATTTCCTCACTTACTCACTTATCAATTTAAAGACATCAATAGCTCTGACTCTTTCTGCTCTGAGAGGTACACAGTGGCTCTTTGACAGAGTTAAGTGACCGACCTGCTGTAACTGTAACTGTATAACAACATAATGAAAGAACAAAAGCATCAAAATGAAGTTTCTGCTTGTGTAAGGCAACAAAAAGTGACCTGTATGTGAGACTGGGAGGTAACATCATTGGTGGTAATAAGTAGGTGTCTTTGGCAGGAGAGCTGTCAAGCAAGTGCCAAGTTGGCTGACTGCACAGTCCCATATGACAGGGCCCATGTTGCGGTGAAAGGGTCCCGCTGGCTTCAAACCCCAAATATAATCTGAGCTCTCTATTTATCCTCATTGGCAACCTGAAACAATGCAGGGCATGTATTATTACTTCTATTATTAAACTCCTGAACAGTTATTTATACATGGACACAGCTGATCAAAGCCTATTCAGATTGGATTCCCAGCTACTCCTATTTCACTTGTGATAAAGGGTAAATGAACAAGCACCCCCTGCCTCCAGAGGAGACTCGAAGGTTTGGTGGGATTTGGAGTGTTTCCAATATAACGGGGCTGGGCATAATATTGGTAATATATCAGTATTTTTATATGAGAGATATTGTCTTAGATTTTGGATATCGTGATATCATAAGTCTTGTGTTTGCCTTATTTTAAAGGCTACATTACAGTAAAGTGATGTAATTTTCTGAACTTACCAGACTGTTCTATTACTTATCTTTACCCACTTAGTCATTTTATCCACATTTCTGATGATTATTTGTCAAAAATCTAATTGTGTAACCATTTCGTGGTGACAGAGACATGCTTGTTTTTCTTAAGAGGCCACTATGTTTGAATAGTTGTTGTTTTATTGTGGATTTTTGTATTATATGTTGTATTTGTTGCACTTTAAATGTGATTTGATTGGCTGCTACCTTGGCCAGGTCTCTCTTGTAAAGGGATTTTCAGTCTCAGTGGGACTTACAATTTTGTGAAAGCACCAATAGTCAACCCTACAATGTTGTCACAGTATAGATATAGAGGTAATGGGCCAAAAAAATTGCAATATTGGATTGACTCCATATCGCCCAGCCCTAATACTGGACCTTTTTTTTTGATTTGTGATTTTCAGTCTAGTGGCC